ACATACATTAGTTCTATGTAGCGAGATCCGCTACATGCCTACATCCTCTTCTCTCTCGGCCTCCACACGTTCTCCAAATATCTCTTCACACTCTCAAACTTTGCCACAGTTGCTCCCTCAGAGAGACCCACAATCATTGTCATTCACTTTTCACTTGCTTTCTCAAACCCCACTTAATTAAACTCACCTCCATCCATATTTTGGCATCGATTACATCTAATTCAGTTGTATGAGTGTTTTCCCTCTAATACTAATCCTCGCTTCCACACCTTCAGCCCATAATATTTTACTCGCTTATTCAATTCTCGTTTACAATTTTTTCCCCTTATTACTTCATACTTTTTCGCTCTCACTTTGCTGCATTTCCAGGTATATCCACCCGCTGGTTTGCCTTACTCAAATTCGCGGTCTTTGTTCTCTTACATGATACATCCCTCCTTGTCCACACACACACCTAAATTAAATACCTATTCTCATTTGTCCCAGCAATCTCATTCCCTCTCAATCGCCTCATCCTGCCCAAAGCCTCAGCCGATCCATTCCGCATTCGCAAGCACTTGGCTCTTCTCTGCACTGAATCGCGCATTGACGCCACTCCTACACTACGCACATCAGGAAGTGACACACAACGTGGTTAATGATAATTTACATAACATAACATAGAGATTTCGGCGCTGGAGTGTAGGCCTGATGTGGCCTGTCGCCGATTCTTTTCCTTTTCGTGCCTTGTTCACAGAAGATCTAAAACCGTGTCATTTGACCGGATTTTTTCATGACTGACCATAGTTTGAAGTAGCTACTAGACTTCCACCGGTTTCGATATGGTGCTAGGCATTTAAAATCTGAACATATATTTTCCCATAGATTTATCCAGTCTGTTCTTGAACGCGTTCATACCTGGAGCGCCAAAGATGTCATCGGGGAGGCTGTTCGACATCAGCATAACTCTATTGCTGGCAGATCATGCACCACTAATCTCCTGTCTACCTTGTATAATTGGACTCGCCTGCTGGACGAAAGAGAGCCAGTGGATGCACTGTACCTCGATTTTGCCAAGGCATTTGATAGTGTTCCGCATGAGCGACTGTTGCGTAAAGTGAATTCTTTATGAATAGAGGGAAATGTACTCCAATGGATCAGGAATTTCCTAGTAGGCAGAAGACAACGTGTCAGTATTAACGGAACCGTATCAGACTGCGTAACTGTGCGCAGTGGCGTTCCGCAAGGAAGCGTTCTTGGGCCTGTTTTGTTTGTCGCTTTCATAAACGATCTAGCAGAAGTAGTGTCAAGCGTGTGCTCCATGTATGCCGATGAAACAAAAGTATATATTACAGTTAAGGATGCGTCAAATAAAATGCAACTGCAAATTGATCTTGATAGTTTAGTTGACTGGGCTGATGCATGGCAGCTGCGTTTCAATGCTGACTAGTGTAAAGTACTTCACCTCGGCAAGAACAATGAACAGCATGCTTACAGCATAAGACACGGTTGCAACGAGAGGGTTATGATTGAGAAGTCTTACGTGGAAAAAGATCTTGGAGTTTGGGTCGACAAGGAGCTAAAATTTTCTAGGCATATTGAAACACAAGTTAATAAATACAATAAACTGCTTGGGCTGATCAGACGCTCCAACGAGTATCTAGATATAGAAATGATGAAGCTGTTGTTCACCTCTGTCGTGCGCCCGAACCTGGAGTTTGGAAACGTTGTGTGGTCACCGAGACTTGAAAAGGACAGAAATTTAGTTGAGAGTGTTCAAAGACGTGCAACAAGGATAATTCCAGGCTTAAAGGGCAAGTCTTATGAAGAAAGATTGAAGATTATGAAGCTTCCCAGTCTCCGTTATCGTCGCCTGCGTGGTGACCTCATTGAAGTATACAAATATACTCATGGTTTGTACAAGGTCCCAGAAGGATTACTAGAATTTGAAACAAGAACCAACACCAGGGGCCACGGCTATAAACTAAAAAACTGCGGTGCAACTTATCCACGCGACAACATTTCTTTTCGCTTCGAGTCACCGACATGTGGAACAGCCTCCCTGAAGATATTGTTGACGCTCCGAGTTTGAACGCGTTCAAGAACAGACTAGACAAGGCCATGCAGGAGCATATGGTTAATCTTAAAATGCCTCGTATCCTACGGAACAACTGAAATCTAGCAGCGATTTTAAATCTACCGTCCGTTGAAAAGATTTGATCAAAAGGCCAGTCTAGCCAAGAAAAATACATGAATCGGCGACAGGCCTATTCTTCAATGCCGAAGATACTATACTATACTATGCTATACTATACTATACTATACTATCCTATCCTATGCTATACTATACTATGCTATACTATACTATACTATACTATCCTATGCTATACTATACTATGCTATACAATACTATACTGTACTATGCTATGCTATACTATACTATGCTATACTATACTGTACTATACTATGCTATACTATACTATACTATACTATCCNAGATCGGGTTCCAAAGGCCGGATCCCTTGTGAATCAAGTCACGAAAAGTTCAAGAATCGGCAACAGGCCATGGGCCTATGTCTTCAACGCCGACACACTTCTATTCTTTATTTTGCAGTCGGATGGTCTGACTTCGTGTGCCGCGACCCGCGGTAGCAGACTTGAGTGAGTACGTGACTGACAAGGCCGGCTTTTCCCGAAAGCACGTCGGCTGATAACTGATGAGGGTTGAAGCTACGGACCTACGGTCGACGACTGACGTACCTATGTTGGTTTCTGTGCCTGAGCCTGACTATGCAAATGATAAAAAATTGGTTTAAATCTTGAGTTCGTGAGGCGGTGAGGCCTAAGGGTATTACCATAAAAAAAAACTGATTCATAAAAATCTGTGTTTTTTCAGTTGTCACTTTTTCTGTAGGTGACTTTGTCAGTACTCAGTAGGTACCTACTCAGCTGGTCATTGGTGATGGCTTTTGTCTCTGTGGCTGTGCTCTGTGAAATTCTGACTGCTGCAGTGCTGCTCAAAGGAGCTGCTGGCACTAAAACTACCCTACCGTTAGCACTAAGACTAAGTTACTAACCTTAGAGACTCGACCAAGCGGTTTGCCAATTTCCAGCACATGCACATCCTGACATCCACATCCAAAAGACAGAGCTTGCTCCATGCTAGTTGCTGACTTGCTGCCCTGCTTCAGAGCTGCCACTGTGGCACTGCCAGGGCCCAGAGCAGGTGTTGCCTGTTTTAGCATAAATCTTGGGTTCAAAATTCTTGTTGTTTGCTTTGAGATGGAGTTTGTTACATGTTAGTTGTTACTGACTATGTACGGTACTGAGATTGTGACTCGTGAGATGGCCTCTTTGTTGAAGATCAATTTTAGATATTTGCCAGTCTTTGGCCAACTATTTAGAAAATAGTTGAAAATCTGAAAGACTGCAAGCTCACACAGTAAGGTTTCAGTTTCCAGTAGGTATGTTGGAGTTGGATCATGGATGGATCAGGTCAGGATGCAGCTAGTCTGGAAAAGTCCTATTTTTGTCTGAAATATCGCGGCTCTAATATCATATAATTTCAGTAGGTATGAAATCTCGCGGCTCGAATGTCATAAATTTTTGTTCGATTAAAAAATCGCGGTTTGCACTTCGCAAACATGTCATTTCATAAAATTTTTAACTTCCGCAATCCGCATTGCTTTACCGTTTCCGCCAAAAATATCTTGCAGAAAAAACATAAACATCGTAATGTAAACAAATAAACAAAACGTTTGTTGAAGATCGCGCATAGTTGCGGTCATGTCAAAGCGGTCAGACTGTATATTAACACGTGCTGAACTTACAGTAGAGACAAATTTTATTGTTGCCGTTTGACTGTTTAAGGGTAAAATTAGAGATTTGGGGTAACACGTGCATAAACTTTGTAAATAAATTTGCATTCGCACCTCGTAAATGGCTTTTCATGGCCGAGATATGGAATTCACGGCTTGGTGAAATAGAATCACGGCTCGTAGAAATGGAATCACGGCTGGCAAATCCATAAAACCACGGCTCGAAAAATTCAGTCACGGCTCGCCAAGTAGATATATTCCATACTAGGGATGCAGTGAAACTTGTCTGTAAATCAGTTGTGATGAGTGTAAGTGTTGCAGTGCATGGAGAGTAACTGAGTAAGGGATATACTATCAAAGTTGTTAACTGCATTTTCTTATTAAAATTTTCCCAGTGACACATCTTGAAAATGGCTTGCACGCAGCATGCTGGCAATGTTTTGGGCTAAAATCCTTATCTTGGTGAGGCAGCTTGCAGACTGGAACCTGGATACCTATTATGGAATATGGACTAGCAGGACTACATCGGACTCACAACAATTACATTAAGCCAATATCCCACCTGTCACCGTCAGTCTGGTGGACCAAGAATTTGCAAGAAACCACCAGATAGAAGCCCACAACGAAACCATCACTTGTAAGGTGCTGGAAGAATGCATCAGCATTGTTATGCAATGCCCCATTGCAGCCCCAATGCCAACCAACTCGCCCATAGCTGAGGCCTTCATCATAAAGATTTAAGGATAGGACCCCAGAGCCCAGACCCCAGTCATCAACATTCAAGCTGCTGGATTTACCAGAACCTTGAGAGTTGAGACAGACTATCAGACAGTTTTCAGAGTAAATTTTTGGTGTTATAATTCTTGGTCTTCTTCATATTTGCGTGATTTGGCAATTGTTTCAACCAGATTCATTTTTAGTGGTATATATATCCTATTTACATGATTTTGTACCTATGTTGACCCAAATTTCATCACTCAATGTGTCTTGTAACTTGATAATGAATGATTGATATATTTGAAACAAAATATAGTAAATGTCCATTGGTACACTGATTTTTTGATTTACTATTAGTAGTGCAAATTAAAAATATTTTTTGATATATTGAAAAAACTAATAAGAAAATTGTCAACTAAACAAATTTTTTGTGTTCAATGAAACCTTAAAGGAAAAATTTTGCCAACCTATACTAAATGCTAATTTTTCCCCCCAGTGACTCTAGAAGGTGTTCATTTTATTTGTCAGTCTGTCATACAAGCTCTTCAAACAAAGCCTCTGATCATTAAATTTGAATCTAAAAACCTAAATCCCCAACATGTACTATGTTTGCCACTATTAATGTGAAGGGTGCCTGTTGTTAGGAAGGTTCATGCTCACCAAATGCTAATGGCATCAATGTTTAAAATCTTTATTTTCATTTACAATATTTTTTTCTAAGTTTGCATGTGCCCTGCATTCTTGTATTAAATATGCCAAACCACTGTGGCAAATTTTTGACCATTGGATATTGCTTTATATAAATCAAGGCTTTTTTATGAAGAATGTGTTTAGCTGTTATTTATATTTAGGGCCAGTTTTTTACTAGAAAATCTTGCAATAATGCTGCTAATTTTCTTGTAAGTGGGATTAATCTGCGGAAACAGGAAATTTCTGACTAGGGATAGTTACTTGTATAGGTACATATATCTATCAAATTTTTCAGATTAAATCAGTTTTCATGTGAGTTTCTACTTGAGTTTTTTCATTTTTATGGCTTGACTTATTGATATTTCAGGTTGTAGGGTATAAGTACTTCCTCTTCACACAGACAAGAATAGGACATATATCTTCATTGTTATTATCCCACTATGAGGTTTTCAAGATTTGTTGCTTTTGGAAAGAATTTCTGTTGTCTGAGTGCAGCTGTGACTGTATCCAAATTTGACAGGCTCTATGCATTCCGGTGAGTTATTTTGTCCACCCAAATTTAGTGGGTGTTAACCCGATTTTTTTAGTTTGCCTTGCTCAAACTCAAATGGTCATTAAATTGTTCATGTGGATTCTTGTTTTGGGCCTTCTAGGTTGAATGATGTGTAATTATGCCAACCAAAGAAGTTATTTAGAGTATTTGCATTATTATTGTCTCAAAATGCTTTGATGATGCTTCAAATGCTTAGTTGATGCCTCAAATACTTTGATGATGCATCTATTTCCCTGCATGACTCATCTTATATCTCAACCCAAATTGCATGCCTCCACTCCATTGATAGATAGTTTTTACTGTTATGAGGTGCTGAGCTACAAATGTTACTTTGCCTTTGCTAAAACTCAAATAGAAGTTCATTTATTATCACTTATAATATCCAACTGATTGGCTTGCATTGACAATCTGTTGCTGGGTTACTTTCTGACAACTCAAATGAGTGTGTTTAATTTAGCATTTTTATTTGTTCAAAATTAATTTGGCTTAAGTTGTCATTTTTGGTTAGAAATTTTTTTCCTGTGTAAGAAAGTTTTGCTCATATATGAAAGTGAACTTTCTGGTGACCACTTGCTTCTGTGAATTCTTATCATTGAAGTCTATAGTAATTGAATTTTAATTCATCAAGACATCAACTTCTCTTTACAAACATATACTGTAGAAATTAAATCATGTTACTTTTTCTGATACAAAATTACCCACATCCATACCACATGCACAGGTTGCTGCATCAGAACTGCAGGCTATGGCGCGCTGTAGTGAGCAGCACTTCCCTGCCAGTGCTGCTGGCTGCTGCTCTTCCTCTCAAGTTCATGGCTCCGCCCATCACAGATGCTGAGCAGCTACTTGACAATCCTGATATGAAGGCAAAAATGGAGCTTCTCATTTTGAGGATTCAAGTTAGTATAAATTTGTAATTTAAAAATAAATGAGCTTTATGAAATCATTCTACTCCTACACATTTAGAAAATTGTGCACATTTTTGTAGGAAACATACATGACAACCCATATGATTCATGACAACACATGTAATTCATGTTAGTTACTGCCTAAAACTTATGTTAGTATGTTATATAAATGATTCTATATATGCTCTTATTTCATTTATCATTTCACCTAGAAATTATTTATCAATTTTATGGAAAAAGCTATTTTAACTTCATAATGATGAAAAATAAGTCTTAGCTAGTATACAACTTCCACTAATTCTCTCTGTATTATGTTTTGTGTGCAGAAAGAATTTTGCGAGTCACTTGAGGCTGAAGAGACAAGTGGTAAAAAATTTTCCATTGACAGATGGAGAAGACAAAATGAAGAGGCAAGTAATATACGTTTTGGTATTCTTGTTGGATCTAATCTCTGTACTGGCAACATGCTTTAAGGCTATCTTGTATTCGCGGTACAATTAAAGTTCGGAGACTTAGTGCCTGATTACTCGGCTATTGATTTGGAATGAACAAATTTGGCAGTTTTAAATGCTGCTCATACACATAACGAGGGTGGAGGTGCCGCACTCTGTTTTTAATAGAACTGTATCAAGCAACTTCCCTAGGTATATCTCATGAATTACAATAGTGGGTCCAGGATACTTGCCGTGTCTACACCTAAGACCCGCGTGTCCCTTGACTTGCATAAAAGTAAGGCCAACTAAAGAGTGGGTGGTTCGGCACGGGCAGGAGGGTGGGGGCATCACTTGTGTGCTGGAGGGAGGCGAGGTACTGGAGCGCGCAGGCGTCAACATCACCGTTATGCGCGCCCCGCTGTCGCCCAAACTGCAGGAGAGCATGCGCGCTCGGTGCGAGTTTGGCAAGCTCTTCAACCTTACCAGCAGCTCATACATATTAAATGGCCTCACACTTGTGGGCCGCTCGAAAATAATTATTGCATACGAATCAATTAATTGACTAATTAATGCATATGATCAGTTTATCCTGGAGTGGATATTTTTATCTTTAAATTATTAAATTTACTCTTATTCCTGCAGTAATAATAATAAATCTGTCACATATTTTAATGTATCTTATTTTCTACCGACAGCGGCAAGACGCTGCCTGCAGATAAGAACTTTGAATTCTTCGCGGCTGGCGTGAGCTCCGTGATCCACCCCCGCAACCCCCACGTGCCGACCATGCACTTCAACTTCAGGTACTTCGAGGTCCAGGACCAGCACGGCCAGAATAAACACGTCAGTGGAACCTTCCTAAATGATCTTTGGTTAAGCAATATTAACGTCATACCTTTTATATGATTCTAAATAGCCTACAAATGGAATGATGGCCACCGGCGTATGAATGGACAAGGAAAAAAGTTTTAAATCGTGTTGCTTACGAATTGACGAAAAAGAGACCTGTGTTTTCATTATATTTAGATGATTAAGAAGCCAAATTCATTCTTAATCGTTGTGAATTGATAGCCATACAAGGGAATCGTGATGAGTCCCTGAATCCCTGCCCTATGTTGTGCAGAGTTGGTTCGGTGGGGGTGCGGACCTGACGCCGTATTACCTGAACACGCAGGACGTCGTCCAATTCCATGCTGCCCTCAAGTCAGCCTGCGATAAGCACGGCCCAGACAAATACCCGCTCTTCAAACGCTCCTGCGATGAGTACTTCCTCAACGCTGCTCGGGGTCAGCCTTCAGAGATGTCCATATGTTCCGTTAACTGAATATTTTTTATATTGAACACCGCATTATATTGATCGCGATTGTGATGTTTATCACTGCACAACGCATGTTCAAATTAAAATGTTGCTATTTTCATGGTACTGTTGCTGTTCCAATTGCATTGATGCTGATCTCATGAAGATCTGGGGCATCATTTTATTACTGTTGGTTGATTTATTTGGCGGCTAAGCTTGCACAAACCAGTCCGTGACCGTTACATTAGCTGCTAAGGCTTGCACTACTTCCCTCAGTAACTGTAACATTATGCTCTTGTCATTGAAACAAATTTGACTAGTTTATTTAAAGTTTCAATGCAATATATTCTCTTGAGCAAACTTTTAATATAAAGAGTAACCAGTAAATAATGAAAACTTAATCAAATTATCCCATTGGCAGCATCAATATTTTTCTATATGTGATGAAATTAAATGTATTCAACGTATATACCGCTGCATATTTACTAATATTTGTCATTGTTATTTCATCTAACAGTACTTGGCGGGAGGTTACAGTTATTAGTTGTCTTTTATTAAGAAATTCTGTTACGGGTTTAACACCTGATTTTCACTTTTCGGACATCACATGCACTCATTTCTGGTTCAAAGGAGAACGCAGGGGCGTTGGTGGGATTTTCTTTGATGATATGGAGTCGCCAAACCCCGACAGCGATTTCAACTTTGTTCGGGACTGCGCGGACGCCATCATCCCTTCTTATCTTCCTATTGGTGCGTTTATACCGTCACTTTACGTTCCTAGCCATTATGTATTTCCAAGTTCAACATGATCCACTCTGTAATTACCCTGTAAGTCCTGAGTTTATTTCATAGCATTTACCTTGTTACGTAACTTGCTTATCATTTCAGAAATTTTGGCAGTGGGTAGTAGTGGGTGATGGCGGTATTGGCTGTGCGTAGTAGTGGGTAATGGCGGTATTGGCTGTGCGTAGTAGTGGGTGATGGTGGTATTGGCAGTGGGTAGTTGTATGTTGTTGTGGTATAGGCAGTGGGTAGAAGGTGATGTTGGAGCGTCTCTGTTCAGTGTTGCAATATTGGTGGTAACACGTAATGCACTTACTTTATATGAGCTCATAGTACGGCACACTCGACTCTGTAATATAATTCTTCACTTAGCTTTTGTACACCACTTGAGCAGGATTGAATTTTTCTTACACGTTGTGAAGTAAAATTAAGACTCTTGTACGACCAATAATGAAGCTGGTACTGCGGTCGCTCCATGTTCATAACAACAGCCGTTATAACTCGTGGTCCAAGTGGCGTAATTGTGGTGACTGAGGTTGCTGTGGCCGTTACAACTCATGGTCCAAGTGGCGTGATTGTGGTGACTGAGGTTGCTGCGGCCGTCATAACTCGTGGTCCAAGTGGCGTAATTGTGGTGACTGAGGTTGCTGTGGCCGTCATAACTCGTGGTCCAAGTGGCGTAATTGTGGTGACTGAGGTTGCTGTGGCCGTCATAACTCGTGGTCCAAGTGGCGTAATCGTGGTGACTGAGGTTGCTGTGGCCGTCATAACTCGTGGTCCAAGTGGCGTGATTGTGGTGACTGAGGTTGCTGTGGCCGTCATAACTCGTGGTCCAAGTGATGTAATTGTTGTGTCTGTCGCGCAGTTCGGCGTCGAAAGCACGAGGCGTTCACCGCAGAGCAGCGAGAGTGGCAGCTGCTGCGCCGAGGTCGCTACGTTGAGTTTAACTTAGTGTACGACCGCGGCACCAAGTTCGGCTTCGCTACGCCCGGCGCCCGCATCGAGAGCGTCCTCGTCAGCCTACCACTCACTGCGGTCAGTTCGTGGAGCTTGCAAGAATTATATTTCGTTTATTAATATTGAGTTATGTGTGGTGAGTCTGTCCGTAATGGTACCAGTTAGTTCTTGTGAGACGAGCACGGAAAGTGATGTTAAGTATTGTATGGTATGTTTCTGCTTCTACAGGCAGTTCACGTTTGTGCTCAAGACTGAATGAAATGCTTCAATGTAAAGAAATTGAGACTTATTTATACATGCAAGATTGTGGATGCAAGGCATGCGGGTAGAATTCTTTGCACTTCCGTCCCGTGCTGGTGGCCGAGACAACGCGACCTCCTTCTCTAGTATCTTCGTACTTTGTTCTTCACCTAAACCTTTTTCATGACGGTTTCTTGTTTATGTATCTCTTCGCTACTTTTGTTGTTAATCTATCTTATCATTGTTTCTGTTGTTCAATTTCTGCCTGTTTGTCTGTCCTTTATTTTCAGTTTTTTTTAATGCTGCTGCTTTAAGACATATCGGCATTTTCACAGCAAAATTATTTTATACATCACAAATTTTAGTCGATGCGCCTAGTATAGCACAATTTCTACAAAATCTATATTCGATTTTTCCATGCAAATGGCACAATGTTCTACCAGATCTGTAATCATATCACCGATCATTTTTCTAACCCTTTTCTGATTACATATGTACAATTGTACTTACCTAACTAGTTACTATTATTCTGTTGTAAAATCATAGAGTTTGACAAGGGTTAATACGTAGATTGCAGATGAAGTTAATTCATTAAAGCTAAAATTACTATAAGAAAAATTCTCCTCCCACAGAAATGGCTGTACAAGCACGACCCGCAGCCCGGCTCGCCAGAGTACACGCTCACCGACGTGCTCAAGAACCCTCGGGATTGGGTTTAGTTACCTGCTTTTATTCCTTCAAAACTGGGAGTTTTGGTCGAATTTTGTTTTTTTACTACGCAGCTTCAGTATTATTGTAACACTTGCTGTTTTGTTGGCGCTCCTATAATTTGATATTTTCAATTGACATTTATTGAACTTCTATATCAATGAGTTGTTCCTATTCAGTTGTGCTGTGAACGTTGGGATGATGTCTGGGTATCTTGTCTGCTTTATTAGTTTAGGAAAAAGATAGATTCGCTCTAGGATGTCTTCCGTCGATGTTGCTGAGAATTTGACGTCAGGTTGCGTTCATTTTGGGGCTTTGAGAGCAGCTTGTCGCCATCTAGTAGCATGGCCTGAAGCAATGTATTTTTTATTTTCATTTTACTCATCTGTGGACTCTTTTTTTCATGTCAGTGTGTGGTACCGCTAAAAGGAAACGCACTCTTTTTCATTATTGATTTTCTCTTTATTAGAGGGATTTTGTGGATACTGGATCCTGACATTTTCTTAACTGAATTGACTGTGATACACACGAACTTAGTAGTTTATCCTAGTGGGCTTATAGTCAATAATCTTCTATGTGGACATTGAATTAATTTCTGTCTCAAATTACAATACCAGGCCAAGTTGTATTGAGAATTGAACCGATAATTCAACGGCTAAGAGTTTTTTTTTGTCACAGGAATATCTATCCATCAACAGTGAAGTAAAAATTGGTACTCAGATGAAATATTAAACGTTAAGGTTTATCTACGTTATTGATGTGTCAAGTGTCTACGTTACATTGTGTCATGGTGCTCGCTGCGTGGCAGACCTTTCTCTCGCATTAGCATGCAGCTCAGCACAGCTAATGCGATGCCAGATGAACGGTGCAGAACGTTTTCTCCTCTGCCCAGTAGCTTTGTTCATTCCTAATTAACTATATCGCTGAGACATTCTCGAGACACGGTAATAAGTTTCTTGTAACGTTGAACTCTATTAGTTTTTGTTCGTAGGCATTTGATACCTTTATAGACTTATTTAACTAATTCAATGAATTTATTATCGCTGTTAATTGACGAATAAAGTGAGATTGTTTCATGTTTGGGTGGTGCGATTTTTCAGATCATATTTTTCTTTTCTTATGCTGTATAACTGCATTTATCATGTTCGGGGATGTAAACTAAGTATGAGTAAACTTGTTTTCAACACTTTTTCGTTTCTAACTCTTCCAATTCTAAGTAACGTCCCCGCTGCAGTAGGTATGTTGCGCCCTAATTTACACTGCATGTATCACATTGGGTAGCATTCGTTCATATCTTGGAGATCTGCATGTTGAGCTACTGAATTCCTAAACTGCCCACACTTTGTATTCATGAACTTGAAGTTACAGACATTGCTATAACCCACCCGGTATTGATATTTTCAGCCTGTCATTGAACAGACAGAAAGGCAGGTATTTGAAAAATTACAATGAACTCGACGAATTAAATTGTTGAGAAATTCTGTAAATCATCGCATCAGAATTGCATATAGACTTAAAAATGTATATGAATTGAATAAATGAATTTATGATTAAACTATTTAAGGAAGCTGTGGATGAACTTAGGTTAATCGAGTCGAGCTTGGGCGCGCTGTAATTTCTCGGTCTCCTGGAGTGCCATGTCGCGGATGCCGAGGTAGCCCACCATCAGGTCGTACGACGACACCAGGTGGAAGTGGGGGCGTGACTCTGGCCACACGGAGTCTTCTCTGCTCAAGCAATGTTATGGATGAGTGCTAACTAATACCTAAATGGTTGGTCTTCTCTGCTCAAGCAATGTCACAGATGAGTGCTAACTAATACCTAAATGGTTAGTCTTCTCTGCTCAAGTAATGTCACAGATGAGTGCTAACTAATACCTAAATGGTTAGTCTTCTCGCTCAAGCAATTTTATGGATGAGTGCTAACTAATACCTAAATGGTTAGTCTTCTCTGCTCAAGCAATGTTATGGATGAGTGCTAACTAATACCTAAATGGTTAGTCTTCTCTGCTCAAGCAATGTTATGGATGAGTGCTAACTAATACCTAAATGGTTAGTCTTCTCTTCTTAAGCAATGTTATAGATGAATGCGGACTCTCAATACTGAAATGGTTAGTCAGTTTTTTGTTTGTTTTTCTAGTACGCGTAGGCTTGCTTCTGTCGACGTCGTCCAAGCGGCTTGCAAATAGGTCTTTTACCTGACATTGAATCATGACATGAATATTAAAATAACATGCGTTTCTGCATCAAATAAAGAGAATTGCCGCTAATTAATTCTATTTGAGTAGAAAAATGCATTAAAACCTAAAAATATTTACTAGTGGCGATAAGTTCATGACGAGTTAATATTCTAAAATATAGTGTTGTCTACAACATACCTGCTGTACTGCTAAAACTATGATGTGAAAATAGATTTCAACTGTAAAACCTAACTCGTATCACACTCAACACTCGAACCTTAGTGCAACCGACTTAATTCCTCAGGTGGGTGCTGGACACGCGCCTTGAGCTGCCAGCCTCAAATCCGGAAGCTCAATCTTCGGCATTTGACAACTTCACCTGGGGCGCAGACCGGTGTGCTTGTGAGTACACCGCTCGTTCATTGGCTTTAAAATGCATGACGGTTTAATTGTCTACTAACTGTCCACAATAGCGCCATCAGTCTGTACAATGGCCATGGGCAACAACACTTGAACACTACCGTCAGCCTTAATCAACTTTGTTAGCGCTAAAAGTTGGCCCGTCGAATCTCGTATTTTCTACCGTCAGTTAACTGGTTGGACGTAGACTGGATGCTAAAATTTTGTCCGCGATTGGCCGAAACATCGTTCAATCTCTACTGTCAGCCAGACGGAGAGTGACGCTAAAGTTTGACCAGCGGTTGGCTCGTCATTTAGTGAACGCTGAGATGGGCGGTGTCACAGAGACCGGTACCTGGGAGGCACGCGCACGGTGTCCTCGTGCAGGTAGAAGGGGTGCACCTGCCAGATCGGTCTTCTGGTGGGGAACTGCTTCTCTTCCAGCTCCTGCAGCTTCGCTTTCTCCGCCGCCAGCTTGGCGCTCGTGTCCTGGAAATGTGTTTCAAGAAATAAGTTTTTACTGAAAATAAAAACATTTGTAAACATTCAAGACTAGGCAATTTGACAGATAATTGACAGAGAAAGACTCAATTTTGTACTTGTCTTGCCACTACCCGTTCCACGCAGTATACAGAAATGATTGAAGGTTTAATTTTAAATAATTATTGGTAGGAGAATAACAATATTTTTTACACTCTGTGAGAAAAAACGTATGCAATCAAGTGACTAATTAAAATTCTTAATAAGAGCTCGAAGCTGACGTGAAATAAACGATTAAATAGGTGGTTAAAAAATGAAACTGCAATTAAATTATTAAAACGAAGTAAATGAAGAAAAAATAATTCGTTTTCAGAAAAGAGTTTGTTTGACTAGAACATAAGCAGGTATTACCCTTAACCAAATGATAGTTTCCTTGTGAACTCCAAAGAACACCGTGAGAAGAGAATTCCACCTACTCAATTTTCAAGCATTATCACTCGTCTAAATAAATAGGCGAGTCACCTCACGGACAGTCATTTACTTTATTGATTTTAAACGAGTTTGGCTAATGTCGAAAGCGTTCCTGAGTCACTGTGACGTGCACTGCCTTAACCGTTCCATCCAATTAGTAGCTTTATTAAATTTTACGCTTGTGGATCATTTTATTTTAAAGGAGAGTTAATTGGAGTAGATCGGAGTATTATGCGACGAGTTTTCATTTTATAATCATTTATAAATGTATTTAGAAATTCCAGGATAACGGCAACTAGAGGAAGCTTGTTCAAAAATTGTCAAGTTTACTTTAACGCAGGTTTAAGAACAAATTAGGTTTAACTCAAAAAGCAAACAAAAAAAATGAGTCCACTTTTCTTAGTGATGTTAGCGCAGCATAGCGAAGACGGACCTTATTAGTGACAGGTTCACGGCTGGTCGTGTCTCCCGTGCTGCTCGGCTTGTAAAACTCACGTCGTCCGGAGGCATCTTGTCTGCCATCCCGATCCTCTATGACTATTTCGTCTTCGGCAGCGTCAGGGTATACACCTCCATAGACTGGGTATTTTTTAATTCTCTGTGAATTTTGAAAAGGATAATGCCTTTGAACTTTAAATTAGCCGAATTAAATGGTATTTTATATTATTGATCTTATCTCGAAAATTTTTCTTGAGTGAATTGATCAACATTATGACGTTGAACTGGTTTTAAAAAATTTTTTAATACTTTGTTTTCAACGAGAAGCATTCGAATCGAATTCAAGCTGTTTACAATAAATTCGTAACATGGTAAATTACCGCGGAAATAAAACAAATGAGGTTTAAAAATACATTGCCCCAGACTTCGATCAAAGTCATGCTTTCCAACTCCAACGAATGCACTAACAACAAACGCAATACTTGACTTAACTGTGACGCATTGATCATCTGCTTCTAACTCCAACAAATACTCCTACAGTCCTACGGCAAACCTATCACGTAAAGTGCCCCTAAGGCAACAGGCGCGTCGTATTCCCTGACTCCAATAAATACGATAGCAAACACATCAAGCAACGTGACGAGTCATCGATTCCGACAACTGCTCATCATTGCACATACACGCAAAAGAAGGCTGGAGCGATAATGATAGCACTGGCAGCACAGTGTGTGATATTAAGTAGAAGGCTGGAGCGATAATGATAGCACTGGCAGCACAGTGTGTAATATGAAGTAGAAGGCTGGAGTGATAATAATAGCACTAACAGAACAGTGTCTGATTTGGAACGCTGATGTAGTAAGACTTTGAGGAGGAAGCAGGAGGACTTGGCACAGCGTCGGTACGTCAGAAATCGTTAAGTCAAGCTGATTGTCCGTAGTTCTTTAAACAGTGAAACAGGTTTCCATTTTGTGATCTGATATGTTTTCGGAACTATATTAGCGCAAATCTGGTTGATGCGGGGGTGACTCATATTCATACTATTCAAATGCAACTACCATGCGACCATCTGAATGCAAATATCCTGGGACTCAGAGCACATGTTCGGAGGTTCTAGACACTCGTCGTCCATTGCGAGGTTCGTCATCTTTATATTTTTTTTTCTTGACAATGCATTAAAATGGCAAAACATTCAAGTCTAGATAAAAAATTGCTTTTGAAGGCTCGCTGAAATATTTGCAATCTTTCTATTGTTTAGTATCCAAGTTATTAGCATAACTACAGCACGCCGGTGCTCGAAATTATTGTGACTGATTTTAGAACACAGATAAACATTCTGGTTCACTGCACAAATCACTACTGACGTTCAACATTAGTGAGCTAACAACTATAACTTCTAACTCTACATGTCTACTTTCTACCAGCGATTACCGCTACCTAGCGTTATCAATCATTACGCTACCAGTATCAATAATTATTACACTGAAGAAATAGGCCCATTATTGACGTACCTCGCATACATACATATATATCATGGAGCGCTTCGTTAAACAAATAAAAAATAGGTAAGGATCTCTTTTCTTAACGAAAAACGCTACAGGCAATGTCCATGCACATTTGAAATTAGTGTAGTTTATACATCAGATCAGAATTTTTTTAGCGACATTAGTTTAGAGTAAATTTATTAACCTCAAATAGTAATTATTGTCTTCATTGAGCATAGGATACGACATCAAAATTAACTGAGAACAATGCATTTCCACCTAAAAACTATTTTTAAAAGCTCCTTAAAAATCATTCTAAATCAGAAGCATACTCTCTCACCTCAGCGTATGTCTGAGCAGTTGGGTCTTTCTTTGCCTTGTCGAGGTTGTCGAGTGTAGGTTGGTAGTAGGCGCTTTGGATCTGATAGTTGTAGGTGTAGGTCCGAGGCTTGGGACGTTGCCACGTGTAAGGCATCTTGTACGTCTCGCTGTCGCTCGTGACCTAAAAATTGCCATCTCTTGAGAAATGATACCTTCAGTTTGCTAAAATAGAGCGTAATGAAATAATGGCTATTCAATATCATGTATCCTCAAAGGCCCGGTGCTTGCAGTTGGTTGCAATGGATGGCTACAGCTTCATACGGAAAATTTAAATGGAAAAATCATGTAAAATTCATCTATCCTGAAACCTAAGATAACTCACACCGCCTGCGCGCAAGCCCCGTTTTCAAATAATTATTTAGCAGGCGTAAAGTGTTAGAATTTAGCGCACAAGCAACAGTCAGAGAACCAGGAGGCGCCTGAGGTGATCTTCTGCCAACAACGCAGCAATGCAGCGACCTGCTTTTCGCCGTTGATTGTTCCGAGGTAACATGTCCGTCCCATGACTAATGGTGTCAAGATAAACGTATTGCAACCTGCAATATAGTCAACATCTGATGGCCATGAGTTACCGGAAATCGTGATTATGCTCGTAACAATCATAAACGTAAGACAAATGTCACAGTGAGACTCATGCACAAACATGACTAGTTTCGCACTAACAAACAAATAAGCTCGCTTTGAACATATCAACGTAGCAGATTATCTTGCCTATCATTTTGCTTCATTTTAACTGTCGAAAATATAAAAATCTATTAATAGTCGTATATTTTATAATAAATTATTAATGTGGAAAAAATCCAGTCACCCTCAATTGTTACTAGCATGGAACTAGAAGAAGGGTCGGTGTGTTGGAGCCTGAATGGAGCGTAGCCTTGTAACAGACAAACGAGCTGTCAACCCACCAAAGTGTTGTCATATGCAAGACAGTATACATGACTTGTTCCGCTCAAATAATTCAACTTCAAAGTCGACACAGTTCATTAAATAGTGTCAACTATGGATCAGTAAAATTAAATATGATGATGTCAGAGTGTTTCAAAATCACGAGCACAAGAGTATTAACTATGGGCGAGCCTCCGCATCCTGAGCCAAGTTGTAAGTGGGCACTGCAGAAGAGTGCAAGATAGCCTGTGGTGTGCTGACAGATAAGATGATTTAATCATTAAATTATTGAGTAACAGAGGTTATTGTGGGGCCGTACTTATAGTATGAATCTATGCGAGTGAGTGTTGTCATGTGCTGGGACTAGTGAGTGTAACTCGAGTACAAAATGTACTTACCTTCTAATTTTAGTTTAGTCTCGGAAGGCTACAAAATATTATAACCTTCGAGTTCAATCAAAGAATTTACCGAGTAACTTGGACTACTCAATTGTACATACCGCATAAGGATATGACTGATGATAGTAATAATTACTGCAATGAGTACAGTACATTTTTATCGCTACAGCTGACTTCTTATTCTACTATAATGGAAAAAAGTTATTTTTCTATTACTTATGAGCGACTGATTTGAATGGGTACCATACAGCTGAGTAGTACTGTAGTAACAGACAGGTAGAAATTTTGATAACAATGCGCAAAAATATTACAAATCCACCTGTTTATGACGAATTGCGATCGGTCAAAAATTGCTTAGATTTAACGACATGATATAATAATTCATTACGTATGTTAATATTTCAGAGAAGTTCAGTCAATATAAGCATTCATTAAGAGAATTTTTCGGTCTGGAGAACGAACATTGATGTACCTTATGATGCTCCAACACAGCACGCACACTCCTACTCAGTTCACTGCCTGGTCAGCACTGGCTTTAGATCAAACCAAAGCATCAAGGTTCGGGTCACGACAACCAATGGATTTGAATACCTGGGGCCATACTTTCAAAACTCGCTAATGGAACGTAAGTATATACGCCTTATTTCCTTGTCTATGATTGGTGGATTTTGCTTGAAAGGCCGTCAATGAATGGCTGATTAACTTACGATCTTTTAACTTTTTTTGAAAGTATGGGCCCCGGTTACGAATTTTTTCTTCCTAAAATAACAGTTTTTTTCATTTTAACTTCATAGCCGATATGTGATGTCGGATAAGTCCAAGGATCAAATTTTCTATTTTCAACCCCGTTCTACTCAGGCAGCCGCTATGTGGTGGACACTGGAGAACCAGATAACGATATTAATAAGAAAGGTAACGATATTAGAGGTAGCAACCGCTGAATCACTGTCGACCACTATCCGCATGATACTAGTGTGTAGTCGATTACTGACGGTAACAAAAACAAAACGACGAATCAGTAATTTTGATATACGTCAGGAAATTTGGAATTTTTCGTATTGGAGCTATTGTGACAGCGTAGTAATAAACATATCCCTGAAGTTTCTATTTTGCCCGTTCGGCCAAAAAGCGTTCTATTCGACAGCATTGGGATGACACAGACACTGGTTACTATATCAACCCTCTTACCAACAAATAGCCAACCCGGTGGAATTCTAGTCGCTATTTCATACTATCGTCAGTCATGAAAAGATCCGGTCAAATGAAACGATTTTAAATCTTCTGTGAACAAGGCACGAAAAGGAAAAGAATCGGCGACAGGCCACATCAGGCCTACGCTTCAGCGCCGACATCACTATGTTATGTTATGTTTGATATTTATAAGTCCTCTTCATGAAAAGTCTGAGCCAAGGCGCCTGAATTGATTCTGTTACCAAACACTCTGCCTAGATTGAAATTATCCTTCTTATGAGTAAGAATTCACGTCGAAAACAATGTGACACAGATGAACGAATAAGAATTTTGTCATGAACCATACTGCGTGCCTCGAAGTTGCACGCAAACTTGTGTTCGCGGCATTTGTTAGCAACTTGGTAGCCGTTGCGCTCTGACCTGCTTTGCAAATGTCAACAGTTTACCAGCAGATATTTAGGCCACACCAAACACTGAGCACAAGCAGACTATTTATATCAGCACACTGAGCACACTGCCGCTGCCGTTAGGTCGCATTGTCCAAGCTTCATTTATACTTATTCAGCCTGGAAAATTTATGTTGCATTTTTTATTTGATATGAAATTTTCAGAGCACATAAAATACGGGAAAATTTTCCTACCTGAACATTTCTTGAACATATTCCTACCGATCTTTGAATTTAAGCCGGCCTTAAAATTATCCGAGACGTCGTGGCAAAGGAGGGCTAATAACACTACAGGAATAATCGTATTTAATAATTTGTCACTCATCTTCGTGTATAGCCTTCTTCTTTGCACACTTGCTAATATTTGGTATAGCCTGCATAAAAATCTCATAAACTGGTTTCATCAACAGAGAATGATGATATCAGAAACTTTGATGAACAAATTAAGTTTTCAAACAGAAAACTAACACAAGCAACGGGCTGTTGGCGCTCACACATCAAGCAAGCTGGCGGTGGAGGCTGAGATCGCACGTCGCCCACCTGTTGCTTGCGGTGCATTGCGAGCTGTACAGTCATGATGGCAGATGGCAGCCTTGCATTGCGAGCTGTACAGTCATGCTGGCAGCAGGCAGCCGTGCATTGCGAGCTGTACAGTCATGCTGGCAGCAGGCAGCCGTGCATTGCGAGCTGTACAGTCATGCTGGCAGCAGGCAGCCTTGCATTGCGAGCTGTACAGTCATGCTGGCAGCAGGCAGCCTTGCATTGCGAGCTGTACAGTCATGCTGGCAGCAGGCAGCCTTGCATTGCGAGCTGTACAGTCATGATGGCAGCAGGCAGCCTTGCATTGCGAGCTGTACAGTAGTGATGGCAGGTGGCAGCCGTGCACTGCGAGCTGTACAGTCGTTCGGATGACCCCGTCATCCGAATATCAGCCATTAATTCTTCATTATTACTGTAGAACAGGTTCAAGTTGTTATATTCCATTTTTGTCATCCGCACCTGACACAGCAGATGCTCCCGAGCTAACTGTAGTAGTTCAGAGGCCGGTGTTCAATACGTATATCCTAGTCCGAGCACCTCCATCCTCCCCCCAAAAAACTGTGTATGTTTGACTATCGTATATTATATAAAGGTGAATATAATAGGTTATAAAATCTTTTTAAAGTTCATATATTTAAAAGTATATAGGTGGGTTAAAATCTTTTTCCGGTAGGCAGGCTGGAGGTCGGCACGCGATAGCTACACACAGTTGAATGCGTGTATTGTGCACTATCACAGTTCCTCATGTCCATTTTAGCTAAAATGCATAATCACTGTTTCTTGCCTAGAGGCAGTTACTGAAGTAAACTATCACTCACACCTCACTTCTTTTTTATACAATCTCGGTCAATAATGTGGATAACATTCATTTATATTTCGATATTGTGGCTTTTCGTCTTTTCGGTTCTGTTAGGTCACGCATGATCATTCCATGTCTCAGTTATTTTTTCTAAATAGGCCGATATTGTTACGCTTTCTCCGCGTTAAGGAATATTCGATTTATGTTATCATGATGCTAAACTCGCACGTCTCACGGGGCTCATAGTAATACCTTCTATGAGGCGCTGCTTGCTCATTGAGTCTCGAACGTTGTCGCCGCTTGATAACCTCTGGCGTTTTTATTGCTCTCTTGAGTTAATCAATTTATTTCGTCAAATTTCGATCATTTCATGTTTCACTGTAAATATAATTCCTCAACAATTAACTACACCGCCAACTTATAAGACTCAAGCTATTTCAAGGATCAGCTGGCTACAACTTTTACAAGAGTTATGATGATTTATGGTATTTTAGCCAGGGCTACAAATTCCAAGACTCTAGTTAATTCGAGGATCTGCTTCTAGTTTTAATGAGCCTTATAATGCTTCAGGATATAAGAGCCTCCGCTATAAATTCCTAGACTCAATTTAGGATCAGTGTAGGATCTGTTGGACGATTCACTGAGTGTTGTGATGTCTAAGAATGTACTGACACGCGTCGGGGTCTGATAATAACTGCATCCACTGAAGCTGATCGTGAGCATCGCACATTGAGTTTCCTATAACGTTACATCAAATTTTGATCGACTCGTAATGAGTACGTAGGAAAATATATTTTCGAAGACAATATATTTGAATTGTAGCTGAAATTGGTATTTGTATTGGTTAGTTGATTCCTCATAAGCCAGCTTAAAAGTTGTTCTTTATTAAGATTATTATCGAGATTTTGGGGTTTACATATATTTGCAGTTTTTTCAATACCTAGGCTATATTGGTCAACTATTGATTATAAAAAAACCTGCATCATTGTATCTTATTTAATGAAACTTCATCTTTTCCCGCTGTTTAATTTTTACATGGCACTTTCTGAGTAGTAAATGTCATCAAATTGCAATGCTCACATAAATAACCTCTGTTCAAGTTGAGTTCGTAAGAAGCTAGCATCCTATTGAGGATGATGATATGAGGCATAACTGCTTATAACACCGCTGACCGTTTTGTAGGAAACAGCAAACATAAACACACGAACAATTGTGTGAAGTGAGAGTTTGAGCTCGGATTACTTGGATACATACTGTAGTGTGGCCAAGTTGATGGTGCAGTGCCATGATGCCCCAACGGCCGCCAGAGCGCGCTATTTCGGAGGCGTGACTCAACAGTCAAGCAATGACGGCTACACAGTCTGTGGCTATTGAGACACTATACTTTGTCTTATTCGGTTACGCAGGCATGTTTAAACTGAGCTCTATTAATTTGCAGTTATACCCGTATAATTTGTACTGTAGAAGCCGTAAAAGCGGAATAAATGGTTCTTGTTTAGGAGGTCATATTGCTGCGGATATCTGAGCAATAATTTGTCTTTTGAAAAAAAAGTAATTCGATTCCTTCCAGATGTCTGCATATTCGAAAAAAATAATGATGAAATAGAATTTCTGCACCTAATTTGAGTAATCATGAAACTTACACAAAATTGTACAAATTTTTAGGAAAGAAGACACGGTCCGAACGACCACACTTAAAATAAATAATGCATGGAATATAGAGGCAAAACACAAAATAATTGACCGAGTTGGTCCTAGTATAATATGTAGTACAACTATAATTGTGCCGAGACTAGTTAAACATCGAAGACTATCAGCTTCTATTCGGTCAATTTGTGAAAAGCATCAGGTAAACTCGGCAAATTCATGAATCGGTAAGATATAAATGCAGAAAACTTAGAGATGATTGGATACGAACATCCAAGAGGTCTCTACAAGACACACTTGTCCATCTGCTAGCACCAGGTTGATAGAATCATAAATCACCGAAGATCGGACCAGTTTATGTTCTTGAAAGCAGACCCACTATTCATGTATTGCAATATTAAGCGTTTAAAAAGACAAGTTGGCCTATGTTCACTTGTAATTCTATCGAGAATTAATTATGGCAACGTATCGGAGGATATAGTGGCGTGCCCATCGAAGCTGGATTGCAAAGTGTACTAACCATGCGATAGCCACTTCTGCATGGTGCATGCAGTATCATTTGTATCTTTTGTAGAAACGTTCACAGCAGTAAGCGTACAATCACGCTGCGAAACAGAAGAAGCAGTGAACGACTTGTAATAGTCTCGATATGGAAACAGTAGTAGACTATCAATAGGAATGGCCGCAGAAACTTGTAATAGTCTCGATACGGGAACAGCAATAGACTATCAATAGGAATGGCCGCAGAACCTTTTAATAGTCTCGATATGGGAAAAGAAATTGACTATCGCTTGGAATGGTTGCAGCTGCTTGTTGTGTTCTCGATAGGCTATGACTTGGACAAAATGTTTCAAATGTAATACGCAAAGTTTCTGCATTACTTCTCTCGCGCGCGGAATTAAGGTGGGAAATAACAAAATTAATAATTTTTAATATATTTTATTTGTGCCAGAGTGGCACACATTACAGCTTACAATCGGCGATTCATGAAAAAAGGTAAAACACCTCCAAAAGTCAACAACGAAGCATGACAATAGGTGCTAACGAAAGCTGAGAAATAAACTATAAAAGAATGCAACATTGAATTTCGGTACGTTTACATCAAGATAAAGTAGCTTAACCTGATCAATGTGAGACTAGAACACAATGAGGAATAGTAGCAGAGCTGAGTAAGTAAGCTGAAATTATTTCATCAGTAGACTCGAAGAACGATAATCATACTCCTTAAGCAAAAACTAATCACAAGATGGAGTGAGAGTAATTTATAAATGAACATTTTTTTAAAGTCTCACAAGTCATTTCATAAATGATAACGTCTCTGTGCAAATTATTTTTTAATGAAGCGCTGTCAATCTACCAGGCAGGTTATCGCTCTGCTCATAGCCGTTCTTACTTTGCAGCTAGACAAGAGTTGTAAAGAGCGTTGATGTTGGAAACATGCTAATGTAAAATTGCATTAATTCAAGCCCTACACGAACACATAGTCAAGGCATATCAGACCAACTAACTGTACAATATATTGTTCGAAGCGCATCGTTTTGTTTCATCGAGGGGTCATCATGCTCGTCAACTTCAGTGTACTATGAGATAAATCCGTTGAAATTTGTGCCCAAAAGTTCAGCACAATCATGGCTCAATATTCACGACATCACGTGTGCGCCCAGCCCATGGCACCAAACTTCGACGGACGTCGAAAATGCGTGATGCCACACGCGCACGTGATGCACGAATTATCCCAAACTCGGCAAGACTATGTTGTTCAAGAGGGAAGCATAAGTAGTTAGCGATTAATATATAACTCCATAAGCTTGATAGACTTCAAAACTATGGTTTATTAATTATTACAAACCATGTATGCAACTTTCATACTTTTCCGATGCCGTACGTAAACTTGTGGAGTCGAGCGCGCTGCTTGGAGCGAGACCTGTCGCTGTCGTCTTCGAAGGGATCCAAGGAAGTGGCTCGCACAGTCCGACTAATGCTCCTTATGTCAGCGGTAGCATCATCCAAGTGATGGCTCTTCATCTTGTTGACCATCTTCATGATGCTTTCTGTCAGCTCGTCTGATTCTTTAGCTCGCCTAGCGTCTCTGACTTGCTGAGCATTAGAATAAGTGGGTGAGTCGTCACTTCCTCTCCCATAGCGGGACGGACGAGGGGGCAGCCTGGAACTGGTGTCCTCACTGTACTTGCGAGTCCGCACGCTCGCACGCGACGAAAACTCTTCTCCAGCACCTATGCTCGACCTGCGTGTCCTAAGGTTAAGCGGCGGTTTCGATGCAAAGTCAGAGGTTTCGGTTATGCTGCTCTTGCGTAACGTTTGCGAATTTTCCGGGAGAGTATAGGTGTATTGTTCTCTTTTGATGATTTGTTGTCCTTTTGGTCCGGTTTCCTGCCGAAACTTGACTTCGCTAGTTTCATACTCGCGAGTAGGAGTTGTTCTTGGAGTCTTTAGGAAGTCATCAATAGCTCTTTTCATTCTGCCTTGAACAGCATAGTCTCTCACGCGGTCGGGATCTGAGCTTCCCAAGCTGAACTTCTTGCTCTGTTGCCATGATGGAAAATCATCTTCATCGAATAAACTGCTTCGGCGATGGAAGCGAGATCCATAGGACGGTGTTTCGGCCCCAGGGTCTCTCGAGAGGGACGATGCTCGGCCGCGTCTTCCGGGTTCCTTGGGCAAGGATGATCCTGGACCTCCGGTCCCGGTAAGTCGGCTGGCGAGAGGTTGGTTGTACACTGACTCGCTTTCTCCGTAAGGAAGTCCGCGAGCACTGCCATAGATGGGCCTTTGTGCGAAGCGCTCGGCGTACGTTTGAGCTTCAGGTGGTTTGACGTACGAAGAAGATGTATTTGAAAGAGGTCTGCTGCCGATGTAGTCTGTCTGCGGGTTGTAGTAACTTTCTCCTACTTTATAGTTATAGTCATATATGCGCGTTGGATGCTTCGGTTTGAACTTGGTTTCTGCTGGTAGTGGTAGCTGAGATGGTGCGACAGCTGTGGGTGGATAAAATGAAGATGAAATTTCATATAAATGTGTTAAAATTCGTTAGTAGTATGCATTAAATTTGTCATTGATTGAATTTGTCTTACAGTGATTGTGAATTTGTGGACAGGCTCAAACCATGTCAGATATGGTCTTTAAATTAAGAAATTCGTATCACACATCCATTTGTGATTAATATACAAATAAAATAAACGTCTGAAAAAATCTTTTGTATCCTAAGTAGACTTGCTACTGTCTCAATCTTATTAGGTATTCAGTGACTCAAAAATGAAGCATCTGAAATTGGATTTTTCTACGAATTTAGGAAATTCACTTCAAAACGTAACTCAATTGTCAAAATAAAATCTACGAATAAAGTGAGCTAAGAAAAAGTCAAAGCAATACGAAATGGATAACAATTAAGTGAGGGTACTTGAATGGTATGTATAGTACGAACAAATTAATGAAATTATGTATGCGAAGTTGTCAGCTGAGAATGCATTCGTTAGAATTTAGTGAGTTAATCAAAAGGTAGGTATATACAAGCAGGAGCGATGAAATAAAAATAAATATATCAGAGTAAAATATCAAATTTAAAAATAGCCGGTAATTTACTTTCGAAATAAGTGAAGAGAGTCCAGTTTAAACTTTAAAATATTTATAAGAAACGAAAGGCTTTAGTAGAAAAGCTTATTTTAGCCAAGTTGTGAGAGTCAACGCGGAGGCGACAGTTGGCAGGTGCACAAATGTTATTGGGTCGAGCGAGGCATGCAGCAAGGTTTGACTCGAGCGCAGGTGGCACAAATAGCGCCATGCACGGCACACGGTGCCTACTGTCTTAAAGAAATAATTACGCAGCCATAAATCACTAAAATTAAACATTGTATTCAAGTAATATACTGCTCAAATATATATGTACGTAATAAAAACCTCAAATGAAGGTCTCACTCAGTGCTATAAAACTTTTTTTCTGCACATAAATGAAATACTTTTATTAATTATGTTGCTCACAACTTGGATCGAAGCGTAAAAATTAATGATGAACTCGAAAAAATTATACCAAGAGACTCTTTTAATGGTCCGAGACCTCATTGGCACAAATATTCATAAAGTTCTAGATGAATAGATCAAAATTATTCATGTTATGTTCGATAAATTTAATTTGTGATTCCTTATCGAATATAAAAACTGTTGTTGAAGTAATAACACAATATCTGACTTTTTGGTTTAGCGCATCTGTATAATATTTTATTACTCATCGTTTAATCGTGGGATTTTTTCGAAAGTTTAACTGAAATTCGTATCATGAGGCTAACGGGGAGTTTTCCTGAACATAGCGTCAGTAATGAATCTAAATTTAGTGAAAAAAGGGGAAGATCCAAAATTTATCAAAATCTGTGCTTCCTAAACTCAGACTTGACTTCATGCAATGTCGTGTCTTACTGTGAGATGGCCACTGTCGGTCAGAAGAAGTCAAGTTCCGAAATTAATAGCGGGGAAGGCGCAACTTTGGCATGAGGGCAGCTGAGCGACCCTGCAGTCGCGTCTGCATGGACTCGTCCAAAACGCGGAGGGTTTTTCGAGCAGAGCTGGAGGAGCTCTGCTGCAACACGGACGAGCTTGAAGAGGAGGAATAGGAAGAGCTGGAAGAGGTAAGATTCTGGATGCGAGCTGAGGCTGTGGAGGAATTGAACTGCTGGTTGAAGCTGCGAGCCGCTCTCTTCTCCTCCTGGAAGCCTTTGGGCACCAGTCTGGGCTGGGAGTAGACGCGGGGCGATTTGGGGTTCTCCCAGTGAAGACCAACTTTGCAGACAGACACGGAGGCAGCCATTGCTGTATCAGAAATTGCGGTCACTTCTCAAGCATAGTGCTTTTATAAAGTCAATGCATGGCTTGAAACACAACGTTCAATAACATTTAACGCGCATCGGACAGGTATCCACGGAAGATTAAATCCACAAAATCACACGCATTCAATGAAAATAAATGTTCATGCAAAAAATTTTCCAGCTTGACAATTGGCTATAGTGTATCAAATCATCATTTACAAGAAACTTATTTCGTAAAAAAACGTGTGCCAGATAATTAAACTATCAGGCTTCTAAAAAAGAATCGTTAATCAATATCCATATTTTTGATGCGCTCCAGGATTTCAGACGAAGAAGGAAACTTCTTCTTTACGTCTAACAGAAGCGCGTCATCATCAAAGCCCAGATCAATTCCTTCGAGGGAAGGCTTCTCTACTCCGCGGTTTTTGCGCGTACTGTAGGAGCTTTCGTACGAGTCTTTATAACCGTTGGTGTCTCCTCCAGCGCTGTAACTGGACTTGGACGAGTAACTGGAAGCTTGATCCCCTAGCCCACTGCTGGCATTTCTAGACGAGCGTGAACTTCCTTTGAACGATGACTCTTCAGTCGTTTTGCTAGATCTGGGCTTGTACCCTGATGCCATGTCTTCAGTACCGTTTCGATGGTTCGAACTTTTTTCCGTTCGAGTTGAAGAATATGTTGTCGACGAGGTTTGAGTGGGCGATCCCCGAGAGCAACTGTTGGAACGAGCTGATACTGAACTGGTCCAACGACTATTTTCACGTCCACTGGATTCGTTTTCAGAAGATCTGCTCAAACTTGTTGAATTAGAATAGGACGAACTGCCAGGAGCTTCTGCTGGTAGTCCCAGATCCTCTCTTAACTTCCGAAGCCTCTCTAAGCGGGTCTCAATGCTTGCCATTTCAGCATTTGCGTCGGGAGCATTCAGTGTGCTGCTGAAAGAGACATGACGAGTTGCACTCGTTGAGGATCTACTATCCGCAGCCCTGCTACTTAGTCCAGATCCATCTTCTAAAGAACTTTCTAGTCTGGAGCGCAGAAAGGAATGTTCATTTGTTCCATCATTCGAAGTTTGTCGATTAGGAATGAAACGATGTGTCCTGGGAGTATCATCCTCTCCATACACCAGCGATGATGCTCTTCGCTGTTCAAATCTACGCGAAAGTTGTTCTGCATCTCCACGTCGTTCTCTATCGAGATCACGGGCTTGACGATCACTTTTGGTACTCAGATATTCACTGTACGAGTCTTGATAGAACTTCTCGAGATCTCGAGCATTGCAGTCATAAATCTTGGGCTTTGGCCTCGTCCAATTGCTCTTCGGGTTGGGTCTCCTAAAATAAGACATGTCGTCGATGCTCGTGCCAACAGCGGACAATTCCTAAGCAGGTCCCGTCTATAAACACTTGCAAGTAAAATCACCGCGAGATGTTACAGGCGGCAGCTCTCGTCGCGGACTGAAGCAGAACTGTAGCCAAGGGTTGCCCTCTACCCTTGCCTCTCTCCCCCTCAATGTGGCGACTCCAATGACGATGAATTGCTTCGCTGCTCAGCTTCCACAACCCAGCTCCGTATTCTCCTCTCATTACCACTCGCTTTATTTCTCTCTTACTGCAGCTCATTCTACTTACTCTTTTATTACAACTCGTCCTCCTTGCTCTCTCATTACAGGACATTCTCCATGCTCACTTATTTCAGCTTGCTTTAATTATTACTTTCTTATTACATGTCGCTGTCATTTTTCTCTAATTACAGCTTGCTTATATTATTCACTAATTATAACTCGCTCTTACAATGGCTCGCTGTAAAAACTAACCACGCTCCAAAGGAAATAATGTATAATGGAAAGTATATTAACAAGTATAATGGAACCTTAGGTAACACTGAAGTTAAAAAATATAACTCAGTACTCACTGCAGTGAGTGACAGAGAGCGCATTTTCTCGTCGACGAAAACTTGAAGTCACGGACGGACAGACAGACAGACAGACGGACATGGCGAGCACAATAGTGCATTATTATTATTAATATTATTGTATTAGAAATATACATCAATATTATTGTATTGTATAATTTATTATTATTTGTATAAAATAATATTGATAATAATTTTATTATTATTATTATTGCATTGTATGCATTTATTATTGCTGATAAATTTGGCAAATTTATATAACTGATAAACAGAAAGTTTTGAGACACAATAGAATTATCGAACTCTTTTCCATCATTAATTGTTTTCATTGCCTTTCTCTCGATGAGTAAAACTTGTTCTGTCTTGCGAGACTGCAGCGTTGTTTTCTCTTAGTAATGCGTATGTAACGGCGCCCAAACTTCTAAATGCAGTGGCTGCATACTGCACACACAGCCCCCTCTACACGCTGCCCTGCGTACGTGTTTAAGCAGCTTTCATTAGTCTCTAAATCTTTGATAGATGATGACGAAAAAAAAATAATTTAGAGATGATAATGCGCATGCATGAAACGCAAAATTTCCGTAATTCATTCACACTGTACAGATCCTGGAAATACGATTTTATTTTCAGTTTAGGTTAATCAAATTTCAAGAAGTGCCAAATTTTTTCATGGCTTTAGAACACGTATTTCTTATTGACAAACTAAAAAACTAATTTTTCCTGCTAGTAGTCTACGGAAAATGCAACAGGGATTTAAGTAATTGAATTCTTAATTTTAAGAGTATTCGGCTTGGCCGTTATGTAAATTTTATGTACCCAGACTGAAAATGTGAGAAAATTGCTGCAACGTTTGTACACAATTGGTAGATTCATTCTTCGGTTAGTGAAAAAAACGAACAAACTTTCATCACCAACCATTTTATTCCATCAGAATTCACGCCCGTGTTTTGGGACCCCGAGGAAGTTAAGTGCTCATCGCGTGTTGCAGTTGTTGTGCAGGAACTTTTTCAGATTCAGTTTTAATTTAGATAAAAAGTTGCAAAATGAAAATCCTAGGTAGCAGCTTGTATAAAAATGATCCAATCGTCGATATGTTACACGTCAGCAGACTACCGCTAGCTGAGCAGAGTTCTCAACAACGGCCTAGAAAGTTAAGTATAATTCCTACAGACGCTCGAGTAGCGCGTGACGGAACGCTTGCGCAATCTTAGCACCAACAATGCAGACAGGAAGAGAAATTAAAAATCTCAAATTTGGAATTTAGGAAAAGATACGAAATGCTGAATGAAAACATTGAAACACTTTAATTGAATATCAATCAATAAAAGTTATTATGTAATTAATAAACTCACGTAGTATTCAAAGGAAATGCATTAATTGAACAATGAGAAAGTAGCGGAAATATTGTATCATTCAATTGGTAATTGTAATTTTTTTTTAATTTCGTAAAAATGCAAGGAAAATCTTGGGGTTGAAAATGAGCCACTTTTTGTTTGTCATGTTCACCAATGCTTGCCAATTACTCAGCTTCAGAAAGTACAATACCCATTAATTCTGAATTGTTTACAACTTGTGTATGTCAGACTATTTCTGCTTATAAACAATTTGAAAATATTTTCAAAATTGTTATTGCAGGGATTGATCACGAGATCTTGGCAAAATGTTTCTTTTGCCAGGATCCTACCTACTTTGCAACCCTAGTTTTGGACCCTTTTCTTGGCTAAATACTTGTGTTATAAGTAACAGAAGTATTTATCATTATCATCAAAGCTCACTATTTCCTGTTTAACCGTCATAAATAGATCTAGCATTGCTGTAAAAGGTTGGCGAAGCGACAAGTTCTAGTTGCCCCGTTTTCGGGTGTCACGAAGCAGGTTCGGCGCGGTGAGGGCTCTCCGCAGACTTTGCCAGGTTCTTATAAATAGAACACCTCGCCAATTGTCAAGCTGGTCTTCCTATTTTCACCAATAAAACTCTAAAAGCAAGCCAAATTCTTCTGGGACCAAAACATGTTCTATATTGAAATAGATGAATAGTTATCAGACATATTAACTCCATTCGCATTATTATCGCTTGAACGTCGCATATTTCCATCAATGCTACAGATGCATCAAAATCACATAATACATCTAAAACTGAAAAATTTCTTTTTCAGCAATAAGTTGGGCAAATTTGTCTTCTTAAAAATAGTAAAACAGGCGGTAAAATCAAAATAAAACTGCATTTTTATGGCGTGGTGTGATGTATAAATGTGAATGTGAACGCATACGTAAAAGTCAGTTCTGTTTGCGTGGTGAGTTGTGATGTACATGAATATCTATCTACTCATACGTGAGTGACTTTTTCGCAATATGTATTTAACCTTGAATTCACGAGAAAATTTGGCCTTTTTCGATCTATATCGCAGTCTTTTTTTAATTGTAGTAAATATCTGCCTCGAAATTAAGTATATGGGTGAGTTACACTGTAGCGTTTGCAAATTATTCCTAATTCAAAATGTTCCTGGATTACCAATAATAGGAAAGTACCCCATCTTTCCACTTAATAAAAAATATTTTGATAAAAAACATTAAGAAGAAGTTTACAGCGGCAGTTTTAAAGATTGCAATAATCGAATTATCAGAGAAATAGAAATATATAATGGATTTTTAAACTAAGGAAATTCGTCTCGGATATTCTGGGTCACTTTATGTATAAATTTTCTCTCGATACGGCCAAATGCTTATCATTGTGATATATTATTAACCGCTTTCGGTGCTTCGATGTAAGTTAAAATACAAAAACTTGATTGAAAATAGAACATAAAATAATTCTAGTTTTCCACTTGCACATTCACGGCGCACTTGCACTTCTCACTCGATAACGTCACTGCAGTGAAGAGATTTAGTCCGCAATTATGTAGCATTTGGCAGCATTCGAATTTCCATTAAAATTCGGTTGTGTGTTTGGAAAAATATAGTTTCCTGTTTGTTTAAAACATAACTTAAGTAGTTTGAAGTTATAATCGCTCAATAAATGTCGCATCGATGAAGTTGTAAAATGCTTCACTGTCTATCAGGCCAATACTTTTGATATTCAAATTGTTAAGTACAATTAATTATGTGCAAGCGAAAAGACATTTGATTTCTGATGAGAGCAATATGAAGTATATGGGTTAAACTGAGTCGTGATTGAACTAAAGTATGTGCTATGGAATTGTGTAAAGTGTCATTATATTCGATACCAAAGTTCAAATGTTATGCATGGTGTGCGAATGTGTAAGATATGGAGTAATGGAAATAATTGCTCTGTTGCTTGCCTGTGTTTTGAGATGCCTTTAGGAGAGACGGAGCAGCGAAGGATCGTCCTGGTCTCGAGAGAGCTGGTATACCTCTAACGAGGCTTGGCCTAGAAGAAGCCGGAGCTTAAAACTGTAATGTGAGTCACTTGGCTGGTGTAAGTGTATTTGTGTTGCGTGTGTACGTGAGAGTGTCATGCCAGCATTACACAGCCAGCCAGACCAAACCTATGTTCACGCTCCCGCACCGCACCTGCCGACGCTGCCGATCTCACAGGCAGTTATTTTCTGGGATAATGTCGCCTAACAGCATTTGAAATATACGAGATCATGAGGGTCATATGGTATGAAGCTCGTCAAATATCATGCTGCCTCATATTATTTAAACTATAAAAGATCGTTGGAGTAATATGGCTGAAAGCTCGTTAAATATCATGTAGCCTCATATGATTTAAACTATACGAGATCATGAGGGTCATATGGTATGAAGCTCGTCAAATATCATGCTGCCTCATATTATTTAAACTATAAGAGATCATTGGAGTCATAAGGCTGAAAGCTCGTTAAATATCATGTTGCCTCATATTATTTAAACTATAAGAGATCACTGGAGTCATATGGCTGAAAGCTCGTTAAATATCATGTAGCCTCATGTGATTTAAACCCTAATAGATCAATTGAGAAGGGCTGAAAGGTCGACCATGGATGTATATGTACTCGTATATGTATAACCAGAATCGATCCTATCGTGGTGAAGAAATCCTCAGCGATAGCAACAGCGGCTCCCCTAATTACTGTGAGTCCTGAACCCATGCTTAGGTCGCTGGTGTCGCAGGGCGGGATTGAACTTTACCAACAATTATACAAGTCTAATGGGACTTTATTTTTTAGGTCGCTTAATGATTGGATGATTTAAACTAACTCACGTACAGAATTTATCTATTGAATTAAAAGATGACCTAATGAAGTGGCATACAAAGTACGACATGAAGTGACTACGAAACGATATTGTTATTTAGATAGGAGAAGCTATAAACTTTCATGTTCAGAATTAACTTATTCTTTTTCCCTCTTAAAGTGTCACCAAGTTAAGTAGCCAAGCCCAATTCGTTAATAAGTTCCGGATATGAGACCTAAAGTTATAAATATAAATTTTTTGGATCTCGTGATCAATAAGATTTGCAATATTGGGATTTAAATTAGAATATTATATGTAATGAATTACATTTCTGTGAGAATATAATTAAACTCTAACTGCATTAGTAAAACTCCTAAGAATATATAAAAATTCCAGAATTTGCTTTCGCAACAGTCTATAGTCTAAATCAAAATAAAGTGCAGCAAGAAAACGAGAGCTTCTATTCTTGCAGCGAAGACTGATCGAAGAACGAGCCTAAATTAT